ATCATCATCATCACATCACTGATCATATCATCATCAACAGCTTCATCACCATGTATTAGCCATAGCGGCTGAAAAGTAGAATTTAGTTGCAGAACTCTGTTTTAGAATTAGCTAATACTATTTATTTTTGTTGTAGATTACTCTGGAAAACACTACGAGATGTCATCATTTCCCGAGACAAAAGCTGATAGGTATATCAACAAGAAGTGCAGTAAGGAATTTGTCAGGTATCCTTTGAAAAGTGACTGCTATATGATGAATGGCCAAAGATATAATTGTGGTAGTCACCTTGGCTTTCTCTTCCCTTGGCTTCTCTTTACTGCTATACTTTCCACTCTCCTCCACTTGCTCTCCTCCACTTGCTCTCCTCCACTTGCTCTTCTCCACTTCTTCTCCTCCACTTGCTCTCCTCCACTTGCTCTCCTCCACTGGCTCTCCCTCCACTTGCTCTCCCTCCACTTGCTCTCCCTCCACTTGCTCTCCCTCCACTTGCTCTCCCTCCACTTGCTCTCCNGCTCTCCCTCCACTTGCTCTCCCTCCACTTGCTCTCCCTCCACTTGCTCTCCCTCCACTTGCTCTCCCTCCACTTGCTCTCCTCCACTTCCTTCACCCTTCCTTTGTTTCTTTTCTGCATATATGCTTTATAAGGCATTACTATACTGGATTGGTATATTCTGTTTTGACTTAAAAGTTCTCTTGACCTGTGCACTTAGATATCATCGTAAACAGATCAGTCGTGTGTATCCCAAGGGAAGCAGAATCGACTCATCTAACTATGACCCTGTCATGATGTGGAATTGCGGTGTACAACTGTGTGCCCTCAACTATCAAACACCGGGTAATTTTGCAATTTTTCATGAAATAATGCTTCGTTCGTTCGTTCGTTCGTTCGTTCGTTCGTTCGTTCGTTCGTGCGTGCGTGCGTGGTGCGTTCGTTCGTTCGTTCGTTCGTTCACAAACATGCTTTGGTATGTCCCTGTTATCCTGTAATTCTATATACGATGTACGCTGATAATACCAATACTTGCACTTTTTAAACTCAGTATTTTTTCCTGATCAGATCGGGCGATGCAACTAAATCATGGAAGATTTCTGGATAATGGCCGGTAAGATGACTACTCAGATTTATAAATAGCTTTAGTTTTATGAAGATCAAAGGGGTTCTTGCTAAGCAGGCAGCACACTTGCTCCTTAAAACAAGTGTGTGAGGTCACTGAGGATCAAACTATGGACCTCTTGCTTAGCAGACAGCACACTAACCAACCAAGCCACACTTGCTCCTTGAAACAAGTGTATGAGGTCACTGAGGATCAAACTATGGACCACTTGCTTAGCAGGCAGCACACTAACCAACCAAGCCACACTTGCTCCTTGAAACGAGTGTGTGAGGTCACTGAGGATCAAACTATGGACCACTTGCTTAGCAGACAGCACACTAACCAGCCAAGCCACACTTGCTCCCTAAAACAAGTGTTTGAGGTCACTGAGGATCAAACTATGGACCTCTTGCTTAGCAGGCAGCACACTAACAAACCAAGTCACACTTGCTCCTTAAAACAAGTGTGTGAGGTCACTGAGGATCAAACTATGGGCCTCTTGCTTAGCAGACAGCACACTAACCAACCAAGCCACATTTGCTCCTTAAAACAAGTGTGTGAGGTCACTGAGGATCAAACTGTGGACCTCTTGCTTAGCAGACAGCACACTAACCAACCAAGCCACATTTGCTCCTTAAAACGAGTGTGTGAGGTCACTGAGGATCAAACTATGGACCACTTGCTTAGCAGGCAGCACACTAACCAACCAACCAACCAACCAGTGTAAGGTCACTGAGTATCATTCTATGGGCTTTTTGCAATATTCCTAATGTTCTGTTGTTGTTGTAGGTGTGGCTATGTTCTGATGCCAGATAACCTTCGACAAGACAACTTCTGTCCCCACGACAGGGACACTAGTGGAGTAGAACCACTAACCTTAACGCTAACGGTATGCCATCATGTCAAGTCAACCCCAACTGACAATATATCTAATCTCAAAATCATTACTATTTAATTTGGCTGTGAAGTTTGGCGGTGTCGCGTTCATGGGGCGGCGTTTCGACGTTGCTGAAGTATATTATTCTACATTCAGCTGCGTCGCTGCATCGTCCGCGTGAGCGTGGTGTCGCTGAGCTTCACAGTTAAATTCATATATAGTTCATTTTAATATTGATGTAATGTTCTATTATACTATAGTCAATTTTTCTAAAAGGTTTGTGTTGATAGTTGTTATTACATATATTTTATATTTTTAAATTTATAAATATTAGTAGTTTTATATTGAGGGCCACAAGTTTATTAGTGTAGTACACTATTTAGTGCCACCCTCATTAAATAATGTTGTTGTTGTTGTTATTATTATTATTATTGTTATTATTATTATTGTTGTTGTTGTTGTTATTATTATTGTTGTTGTTGTTGTTGTTATTATTATTATTATTCCTCTTCTTCTTAGGGCGCCCTCTCTGAAACCGTTCTCGTCTTTAGTTCAGGGGTGAATGCATGGCCATCAGCTCTTGATTATTTCATCTTTGATTTATTTAAGGTATTTGGTTGTCGACATCTTGTGAAATCAGGCAGAGGAATCGCTTCTCCGTTTGTTGAAGTGGAGGTGGTCGGTGCTCCTTACGACTGCGCCAAATTCAGAACTGAAACAAAAGGTAAGATAATGATGTGCAAGATGATGATTGTGATAGTGATGAGGATGGAAGGAAGACGATGGAAGACGATGACGACTATAATTATGATGATGGCGATGATGATAAGAAATAATGATGACGATGATGATGATGATGACGACGACGACGACTAAAATATGATGATAAAAAAACGATAATGATGAGGACTATAATTATGATGATGGTGATGATGATAAGAAATAATGATGAAGAGGACGATGATGATGATGTTGACGACGACGACTATAATGATTATGATGATAAAAATACGATAATGATGACGACAATGAGATGACGACAAAGATAAAAACGATGGTGATAAAGACAGCGGCGATGACGATGACAAAGATTATGACAACGCTAATGAAGATGAAGCTGATACTGGTTCTGTTGATTGTGATACAATTTTTTATATACTTTTTTCTCGTTTTTTTTCTGTGCAAGGTTTTGTCGTTTTATAACTCTCGTTAACAAATAGACATCAGTTTTTCATGTGTCTGTCCTCTTATTGACGGTAAATTGCGTCATCACATTGGCAAAGTAGTGTGGATCCATGAGGCGTATTTGTTACAATGACAAAAACGATAAAAACTTCTCATTTTTAGCAATCAAAACAACCAACGGAAAGAGCGTGCGCTCGTTGACATCAGCTTTATCTGTCTGTCATCTTATTGATGATAAAAATAACCAATCAGCGCGCGAGAAATTTGTAAGTTATGTAAAATTCATATTTATTTATTATTTCTTTAGTTGACAACGGTTTGAACCCTGCATGGTTCATGACCTTTGAAGTAGATGTTCTCAACCCTCCTCTAGCATTCGTGCGCTTCGTCTTGTTTGATGAGGACATGTTTGGTGAACCGAACTTCATCGGGCATGCTATCTTCCCCATGGGTAGCCTACGGACAGGTAGGTGGTATACACACACATATACATAGAGTTCAGTTAAATATACTAACGCCCCGTCCACACGTATCCGGAAATGTGTGTATCCGCAATTTTTTTCTTTTTTTTTTTTTTTTCTTTTTTTGGCGGATACGGGTTGCGTCCACACGTGCCCGGAAATTTTTGTATCCGTATCCGGAAATTTTCGAAAACGGTCTCTAGAGTGGAAATTTTCGAATACGCTCCGAATACGGATACGTGTGGACGGTCGTATGTGTCCGCAAATTTTCGAATACGCTGACGTAAACATGATTTTGCGCATGCTCAATGAGAAAAACTATCCGTCAAAGGGACTAGGCACTAGCGTGCATCAGGGCGGATACAAAAATTTCCGGGTACGTGTAGACGGGGCCTAAGAATTTGTAGCGGTAGTACCGACTCGCCTCTCACCTCTGGGGTCTCGGGTTCGATTCCCGGACTTGACATCACGTGTGAGTGGAGTTTGTTAGGTCTCTCCCATAATAGAGGTTTTGCACCATCACGTGTCGGCGTCCATAATCCAGCTTGGGCTGCCTGTGGTCAGATGGCAGAACAATAGAATCCCTTTACTCTCGGGAATTGAATTCTTTCTCATGTAAAACGATTGTATTGTTTCTGCCATCTAACATGGCATCTATTCAAAGGTTTTCCCCCTTCGCAAAACCTAACACGATAAATTAGACTAGTTGTTCCATTGTATCTATGAAATTGATGTTATAGAAGTGCAAAAAAAGTAACTACTTTGTGTCCTTAAAAGTATCTAATTGATGGGTTGCAAGCATTCCCAAGAGAATTAAAAGACAAAAACATGGCGGCCATTGTGGTACCGTTAACAATGGATGCTAATGAGAAATCTTTTGTTAAATGGTACCAACATGGCCGCGATGACGTAACGTGCAAGCGCAGAATAGTTTCTATTTTGGTTACTAGTGTTTATTGTTATTTCAGGCTATAGATCGCTTCCCCTGAAGAACGCCTACAGCGAGGAATATGAGATGTCTTCTCTATTGGTTCACTTTGATATTCGAAGTGCTAAGGTACATTCTTTGCTGTTCATTTAATCATAGTATCATATTCCCTTGGCTGGTTTTCGAGTTCCAAATTACCGCTGTGTTCCTTGATTACTCAAGCTTAAGCCTCGTATCAGTGTCTAAATATTCAGTCACAAAAACCAACAGTAAAGTAAAAAAGCAAAGTAAAGAATGCACAACTTCAACACATGAATATTCTGCAAAAAAATCAACGCTAACCCTGTGCAACAGACAACTCGAAACTGGAGTATCAAATTGAGCTGATCCTTGCAGTATATGAAGCAACTTATGGAGCTGCAAATTGGAGTATAGAGCGTTTTCACTTACGTGAGAAGGCAGCCATATTGGTGTAGCAAACAATAGAAACTTTCTGCACAGTTTTTGCATAAAAATAGAGTTTAATTCGCCGACGATAGAAAATGTATTGTTTTGGTACACCAAGATGGCCGCTGTGACGTCACGTGAAAACGCTCCATTCAGTGATATCTCAATTTTCACCCTTCATTAAATAGACAGAAGTTGCACGTCCCGAAACTTTCCTCTCATATTTCAGTTCCTGTATAAAGAACCTCTGTTCATATTTGTTTTGTCTTTGAAGGGTGATGACGAGAACCTGTACGCGACCATTCAAGGTCTACGAGACCGAGTCCATGAAATCTCCTACCAGATGGCAACAGAAGAGAAGATGGCCCGCGAGGCCATGACCCAGATGAGTCAGCGGTCTGGTCCATTGTCGCTAGAAGCGCAAGAAATCCGTAACCGGCACGTGTTACACATGGAGACACTGGGCAGGCAGCTACAAGACAACCAATCAAATCTACAGAAACTCCAGAAGGAAAGGGCGGCCAGGTACATCGATTAATCTGTGTCTGTCTGTCTGTCTGTGGCTAAGATGTAAAGGTGTGTGCCCACGTTTTGCTTTAATTGCTTTGCTATTATGAACTTCCTCCATAAATGAGTCACCCCCATTCCGCACCACTTAAGGTCTGGGATTGAATAGACCACTTGGGTGTAATGTTTTCCCATTCAAACCACGTGTCATTCTCTTAAGAATAAGATTCTTCGTTCGAGTGGTGTCCACATTCATGTGTCTTCTCGTGCACAACCGTTAAACAGCGAAATAATACTCTAGGGAATGACACGTTGTCTGAAATGGGAAAACACCACGCACATGGTAATTGTGTCTACAGACGTCTTTGGCCTGGGCGTAATGTTTTCCCTTTTACACCACGTGTCATTCTCTTGTTTATTTTTGCTTTGTTTAACGGTTGCGCAAGATAAGACACATGAATACGACTCAAACAAACAATCTTATTCTCAAGAGAATGACAGGCGGATAAGTTACACATGGAGGAGTTTTAGTTAAATTTGCACTTAAAATTAAAAATCTACAAGATAAATCAGTATTTTTAGTTAACTTCTTTGCCTGGTTGGTATAGATAATACTTATAGACAATAACATTGCATAGTTAAATCAAGCTTAAGGTACTAGCGGGGAGTAAGGTCGTCTAAATTTGTTGTTCTTGACTTACACAATGTTGGTAGTATCGTTTTTTCTTGTTTCTCTTTCTCTCTCTCTCCCTCTCTCTCCCCTTTTATTTTCCTGGTCTTGCTTTTTCCTTGTTTTCCCTTCCATTCCTAATCCTTTAAACTTTCTTTTTCGATTTTTTCTTTCGTTAATTTTCCTTCCTTTCCCCTCTCTCTCGTTTCCCATCTTTTCATGTCTTCCCTTTTGCTTTTCATTTCCATTTCACACCCCTTTCCCTTCTTTTACTTTTTCATATTTTTCCCACTGCCCTTTTCTTCCCCCATTCTTTTCCTTTCCTTCCCAGTTGTCAGTACTTCGATAACTACCGTGAATAAAACGATATTAGATTTTGGTTCAGCTATAACAACAGCTAGTTGATCTTTGTTTTTTTGGTCCCCAGGGTGTTTCAAAACGCAAGTGATGCCTAAATGTGATTTTATTTTACAAAAAGAAGCTGTTGTAATCCTACCTGTCCATGCACAAGTGACTGGTATAGCTGATAGCAAACCAGCGCAGTAGTTATCTACACCTAATTTAAAAAACGTCGGGTTCAAAAAAAGGTTATATTATCAAAACTAAGACCGAAGGGGAGCATGGGAAGACAAAAGAATTATGCTAATTTCATGCGTATTGCAGTTTTCCCTTCCTGTACACATTTTTTTGCATCATGGCTTTGGCATGTTGTTAATCTAGGTCGACCGACTTTGCTTTACTGTGCATTTTTACATGTCTATATGCAAGTATAACACACATTTCGGAGTACCCAAAATCCTTTTCGGTCTTAGCTTCGATGATATGACCTTCTCGAACCCGACTACGTTTTTTCAATTAGGTGTATACTCGCAAGCAGAAAGGGAAATAATTTTGCAACCACATCTAAAAGAAATGAAAAAATTTTAGTCTAGAAATTTAGAATTTTACATTAGATTTAGTTAAAATTTAGTCGTTTTCAGTTGGTTAAATCCTTAGCCTTGCTATTGCACAAAAATGGATATATTTCTACAACATTAGGAATGTCTATTAACCATTCCGAGGTTGAGGAAAAACTGGGTCGAGTTGGCATTACAGTGCATTGTGGGGCCGTTTAAGGAGACATATTTCCTCGGGATGGTCAATAGAGTAAATGAAGGGGAATAGGAGTGTCAATGCTCTTGGCACTGATTTATGGCAATTTTTCTGACTTCTCCCCGTCCCACATAAAGCAGGGTTCCCGTGCTCAGTATTTTTATGTGATTGGAATACCTGTGGTACACGCGTAAGAGTGTTTTATCCTCTATCGAAACACCTAGAAGAAACATAAAAACTTCATCTTCCTTCTATATCGGTGTTAGCTCATCGGATGAAACACTCTTTCGCGTTTCTGAAATATAACTTTGGTTAGAATAGTTACGAAATGGTTTAGATCGTGTTTAGTTGTAATAATTTTTCTCAAAGAAAAAATTCGCCAGATTAATCTAGGGAAGAAAGAGGTTTGAAAAACTACAGGTACCAAAGAGGTCTTGCTCCCATTATTTTCGTTTTGTTCTTTGTTGTTTTGTTTTTTG